CCCGAGGGGTATAAATATGAATGATTTTACATAGAAAATCATTCAATTTTTATTGAATCAAATAATAATCGTTTCTTTTTATATTTTAGTTTGGCTTCGACGATACAAAATTATACAATTTAACGTCAAGCAAAACAATAAAAAAGAAATGTAGGTATTTGTTTTCTTTTTTTTTCTTTTTCTTTTTTTTCGTTTGGATCATATGGAGGGTGGTAAGTCCTCCTATGATCTTTTTTATATATATTTTTTTTTAATTTTAGACATTGGGCAGTGAAGAAAAAGATAATAGTGGGGGTAAGTGAACTGATTCTTTTCCATTATAAAACATTAATTGAATATTTTTTCTTTTTTAGTCTTCAACATCATCGCATTGTGTTTATCATCGTTCAACATCCAAGTACGTCAGTAATTATTATTATTATTATTATTTTTTTTTTTGAGATTGAGAGGTTAGGGTGAGACTAAGGAAAAGTGAGTGTTAGAAGAGGGTGGGTGAGTTATGTTCGTTGAGGTTAGACCCCTGTTATCTTTACAGGACTTCCGGGTAGTCCCTAAAAACCCGGCCAGCAACCATCTTGGTGTCCGTGGCACACGACCAGGCTTATTCAGACTCATTGACATATCTCTCACGGGGAGGGTATGAATGATATGAGTCTGTCCTGTGCGTGCATGAGCGTTACGCTCGCCACGGCGCCACCAGGATGGTTCCTGGTCGCGCGCGCGCGAATAGATTAAGCCATTCATTTCATTAATTCAACGTGATTTATTTGAGAGAAAGGAAAGAAAAAAAATCTATCGCGAAGAGTCTATTCGATTGAAAATCGTTGAACACGATGATTCCACCGATCGGCGACATAGAGATTGCCATGTCGATCGAAGGACAAACCTTCGAGACGGTTGAACTGATTTGCTCCTTCTCCTTCACCATTTCCACCCACAATGACAGTGCCCTGTTTCGCTCCTTTAGGCCAACGCATCACTCGATAATTCTGCCTGTCTGCCACATAGAGGGTACCCAATGTATCGACAAACAGTCCTTGAGGATACCACAATTGTGTCGAAGCATTCCCATAACCTTGACCCCCAGCGACGACAATTCCTTCTTTTGCACCTTTATTCCATTTCATTACACGATTATTGCCCCTGTCTGACACGTAGACAGTCTGTTGTTGATCGACAAAGATGTAGCTCGGCCAGTTGAGTTGGTTGAGACCAGCACCTTTGCCATTACCACCAGCTACAAGAGTTCCATTCTTCTCTCCTATTTGATATCGTCTTACTTCATCTTTGTCGTTGTCAGAGATGTAGAGATATCTCTGATCATCCATGGCCAATCCATAACACCAGATGTTGTCGATGAGAATTTCTCCTTGAGTTGTACCACTACGACGAGACCATCGTACGACTCGCCCACTATCGCAAATAATGAGACTATCCGTCTCTTTGTCGATCAACACATCAGTTGGTCGATCCAATTGATCCAATCGATTTCCTGCGCCATTGCCACCAGCTATTACTTGTCCATTCGTATCACCTATCTTCCATTGGATGATACGATGATTGAAGCAGTCAGCGATGACAATCGTTT